TCGACCACGTCAAGTCTGTTAACCTGATTACAATTTTGTTTCTTTTGTTTTTGTTTTATAAATTAAAAGAAATTCTTATCGATTTCCATTTACCACATAACCACATAAGAGATGTAAGGATTATAATCCCATTAAAATATCATTATAATCTCATTTTAACTAACACAAAAATACGACAATGAGAGATTCCTTATTGTTAAACAAAGTGTCGGCTTCTCTTTATATCGAATACATCTTTCGCCTTGTGGGTGTACCGCTAGAAAACAACTTTAAGACACAAACCGGCGAAACGAAATAAAAAAAAATAATGTTATTTATTTGTAATGTCAACAAAATCTATTTTTAGTTTACCCACCTTTATTTCTGAAGTCTATTAAGTCTTATTTTCCAATCTGTTTTGTGATAGTAACACTTTTCTGGAATCTGTTGCGAAAATATCTAAATTATACTCGTTATCTCCCTAACCACCGTATTAATAACTGTTCCTTAACTGAAATGATTGCCACAACGAATGTGTAATTCCTTAAATGAAGTGTCTGTCAGTGTATGTAACCTATTGCATTTCTTGCATGGTTGGCCGGCGATATTTTTCAATTACCCAGTTGACAACCCAAGCGGAAAATGACATGTTCATTCAAACAGAGGCGTCGCGACCCTTCCCGGCGCCTGAGGACAAACTTCTGATTTCCACCCCCCCCCCCTCAAACTTTCGATTTGCAACCGCCCCTACCTCAAACTTTTGATTTGCCCCCCCCCCCCCCCACCTCAAACTTTCGATTTGCACCCCCCTCTCAAACTTTCGATTTCCACCCCCCCCCCCCCTCAAACTTTCGATTTGCACCCCCCCCTTCAAACTTTCAATGTGTTTTTCCAACCCATTTTGACGCCCCCTAAGGTCGGCGCCCAGGGAAATATGTCCCCCCCCCCCCCCCCCCCTTCTAGCTACGCCTCTGCATTCAAGCAACCATTAGCTCGAAGTGTAACATCGCCTGTTTAATTTAACTAGACGATCCCAGTTTCACAATCAACATAATAATTTTGTAAATATAAATCTTATTTACATTTAATATTACAGTATAACCAGGCAACATCCAACAATAATCGCTCGCTAATTGTTTTTGATCGATTGTCGCCTGAACGACTTTGACGAAAGGACGTAACTGTACACGAATATCAGCAGGAGTTGCATCCCTGGATTAGAGAATTTAGAGGGCTGAAACTAAACACCACATCTAGCTACGTTTCTTTGAGAACCGCTGGTTCAACATAACGCGGTTAGCGCGTGCAAATACGGTTCACGCGATAGGTCAAATTATTCAACACTTCTGCTTTATAATAATTATTTGTTGATTATATTTATTCGTAATATAATTTAAATTTATCGTAAAGCTAAAATAAATACTTAATTAATGATGCCTTAGTGTCTTAACTTTACCCCTGCTTAACACATTATTAAAAAAAATTAAAAAATTAAAAAACCTGCCCTTTGAACTTAGGAAGATTTGCGATGATGCAGAAGAACCATTCAGTTGATGTTTACTTGCATGTAAGTTTCAGCCATGAAATCCTTAACGTGCTGTAACATGTAAGTTACAACCTTGAAATCCTTAACATTCTGTAAACAAAAGTTACCCGTACGAGAGATGTTTCCTGTACTCCTGTTTTCCACGCTCGAGTAATTCTTAATTTCCTGTAATGGAACTAGAGGATGAACTGTCGCATTGATTCCAGCGTTAAATTTGTTGTTTGTCGATCTCTTGTTCAAAGTGAAGTGTGGACAATAGACAATAGGAAATCATTGAATTTGGAGGTCTTTGTTGTGATATTTTGATCACATTTCATGGAGATCAACATAGCAAGCTTATTTCTTCTACAAAGTACACGCTGGAGTGTGCGATTAATCAACGATTATTTAAGGTTCCAGGTTCCAGTTGAAGCCATAACATCAGGGTCTAAATATATATCATACAATATTAGGTAAGCTATAACATAAAACATAAGAGAGGTAAGCCATAAAAGCAACATCAGGGGTCGTAAGCCATAACATACAACATCAGGGGACGTAAGCCATAACATACAATATCAGGGAGGTAACCCATAACATACAACTTCATGGCAGTTCATTGTGTTCTACGATCTGTAACACATATTTATATTTTGTTACAAAGAATGTTTATCTCTGTCATGAAACAAATATATAAAAAAAAATATTAAACGTGTAAGTATGTGAAACGGCTGCTCAAAAGGGAAGATAGTCTGATTGGAACTCTCTCATTTTACTATACAAGTCATCCATTCTACTTACAATATCACTTTCTTTTCAAATCCAAATGCATTTCAGCTCCATCTATAAATCTATTTCCTTAAAACACAAATTTCTTCAAATTATGATTCAAATTTTTTAGTCTACCTTGTTTTTGGATCAGGTTCTGATTTAGAGACTGACATGCTAATCATGGAGTGAGGATGGAAAAAACAAAATGGAAAATCCCGTATTTTGTGACCACGTCATATAGTGTGTCAACCCTATGTCCAGCCGCTTTAACATAAGGCAGGTATTCATTATAGCTGAGTTGACTCAGGGATGACCTACAGGATCCAAACTCAAGCTCTTTCATGCTAGCAGTCGAACGCTCTACCATACGAACATGCCTTCTGTTATATTATAAAAGACACCCTATTTATTATCTATTCAAAGTTTTTAATAGCTATCTCATTAATGTTAATTTCAAGATAGTAGTACTTTTTTATAATCTCAAAGAAATAAATCTAACCGCTGTGTACAGAACAAGAACCATTAGTACACAACGTAAATAAACGGAAGATATTTTAATCTCTTTCTCTCGTATATTCATTTGTTGCTATACCTTCCCTACACATAATAAGCGCAAATACATACGCGTCAATTGTCTGTCTCATTAGTTAATTAGTTATCTCACAATGATGTCGGATGCTAGACAGCATTGTGTTTTAACTCAATATCGAACAGCGTCGATTTAATAAGAATGTAATTTTTCTGTCTATTATGACGGTTAACCATGGTTTGAAAAAAAAAACGAATCAAGGGATATAACAGAGTAATTAAAAATGTTTAAAGATCTTCATAATAGTCTCGCCTGTAATTTTCAGTCGTGCCCTTCTTTAGCTCCTAGTCCAAAAAAAAAAATACAACAAATTTATTGTATACCAGTGGCGTAGGCAGGGGGGGGGGGGTTTAGGGGGGTCATACCCCCCATAGACCCCTCGGTATATATAAAAAGTATGAGGGGGGGGGGGGGTGCAAATCGAAAGTTTGAGGGTGGGGGGGTGCAAATCGAAAGCTTGAGGGGAGGGGTGCAAATCGAAAGTTTGTCCCCGGGTAAAAATTGGAACCCCCTCTTGAGACGACCCTGGCTACGCCACTGTTGTATACGGAACATAAAGGATGCATGGTAATTGTGATAAAAATCGATATCGAGAAGTTGGACAATTTTGTCGCTTTATAATTTTTCTGAGCCAGACAAACTTTGTTTTTCAATCCTGTCTGTATTTGTGTATGTATTTGTGTATGTAAACACGTTTACTTGAGTACCGCTTCAGTTAAGTTGACCAAAATTCATATATAAGTACATTGATACCACTAGATTCGAGTTTAATTCGTTCCGTTACATTGCTCGTATGTCAAAATGTTCGTATCTCGAAGCAGTTTTCTCCATTAAAATTAATTGAAATGCCTTTAATCAGTTTTAGCCTTCAAAATGCCACCCCAGTTGTTTTTAACTATGAAAAGTCCATTTATACATGACAAAAATGGTTTAATATGAGGGCTAATGCAAAGAAAACAACTAGTTTTATAAAGTGTATTTACCTTAAAAATCAGCCACTTGCGCTTACTAAAGAAAAAGGTGTAGGTGTAGACTCTGTTGTGTTGACGGGAGGGGGGGGGGGCGGTATATTTTATTCGGGGGGTGGGGTGGTGGGGGGAAGAGATGCATGGAAGAAACTCTGCGCGGGAGCTTCACTTCGTTCATTTACTCACTGTTTGTGAGTTTCACTCAGTTTTGCTCAATGCTTTTCTCTTCGTTGGTCTTTTTTTTCTTCTCACTTTCCCCACTTTTCCACGCATAAATTAGGTATGTGTCAATAAATAGCTTGTTTGGGCTGTTTCTTTTCCACGAACTGTTACACCCGCTTATCCGGTTACTCGTATCTCAAGTTTTGTTCGTATGCCGAAGCAAATTTTAGCCCGCTCGACAGCTCGTATCTCAAGTTTTGTTCGTATGTCGAAGCATATTTTAGCCCACTCGACAGCTCGTATCTCAAGTTTTGTTCGTATGTCGAAGCCAATTTTAGTCCGCTCGACAGCTCGTATCTCAAATTTTGTTCGTATGTCGAAGCCAATTTTAGTCCGCTCGACAGCTCGTATCTCAAATTTTGTTCGTATGTCGAAGCCAATTTTAGTCCGCTCGTATCTCAACAATTGCGTATGTCGGGACACTCCTGTATCAAGCCAGCACTGTATTATGTCAAATCTGTGGTTTTCTATTTCCGGTAACAGTAAGTTGTACTTACTCCACTTCTGGTCTCTCTAAAGCCAATGACTTGTAAGTTAGGTGGACGAAATTTCAAATTTTAGTACATGTATTAGAATATATGACAAAGTTTCTGTCAAATTTTAAACGATTCCTTTACAAAAATAAAATTTCTTGGCCTCTTGGAAAAAGCCAGTGCACCCCTGCTCGTTCGAACTTTTCACAATATGTAAACGTAATTTAATTAGATAAGAGACGCTGGTAAACATTCTTTTTTAACGATACCTAAATGTAACTTAATTAGATAAGCTACGCTAGTGAATATTTGTTTTTTTTTCACAATACCTAAAAGTAATGTAATTTAATTAGATAAGCGACGCTAGAAAACATTTATTTTTTCACAAATCCTAAATGTAACTTTTCTATTGTAGCTGGTGGTTAAGTTATAATACAAAATCATACACGTAAAATCAAATTTGTATTGGACAGAGGTTTAAAAATAGATTTATTGTTTCTATTTGGTTCAGGTAAATCTCAAGATCCTGGTGGATCCTGTTGGCGGGTGTCACGTGACCAGCTCCGTGTTTAGCCGTTGGTGCAGGACTGGCAGGAGTTGCAGTAGTCACAGTAGCACTGATAGCTCCAGACGTAGTTGCCGGAGTCGTCGATGTAGTAGAAGCTGTCGGTTCGGTAGCCCTGGGGGTGGAGGGGGTAGAAGGGGTAGAGGGGGTAGAGAGGGTAGAGGGGGTAGAGGGGGTAGAGGGGGTAGAGGGGGTAGAGGGGGGTAGAGGGGGTAGAGGGGGTAGAGGGGTAGAGGGGGTAGAGGGGGTAGAGGGGGTAGAGGGGGTAGAGGGGGTAGAGGGGGTAGAGGGGGGTAGAGGGGGTAGGGGTAAGGAGAGATGGATAGTTGAGTAAATATTGAAAAGTAATAGCACTATTCTACGTTCTCAAGTTGATGGTATGTCAATTTCTATCGTATCCAGCCCAGACAAATGGTATTTCAGAAGTAAAAAAAAATTCCCTCCCCCCACGTCCATTAACAGAAATCTTATAATCCTATTTGTAATGTACTTTAATGTTTCAACACCAGTTGTTAAGTTTTCCCTTTCAAACCTGACGGTCTATGAGGCAAGTGAAGTAGAGTTCACTTGTTTCTGTGACCTCGACATATGAAGAGATAGTGTGGTCAGCACTATGCCCAGCCGCCTTTACTTTCCCTAATGTGAGTTAGGTACCCATCAGAGTTGGGTGGACTCAGGGACGGTCTACTGACTTGAACCTGGATTCGAACTCGAGACTTACGGGTTAGCAGTCCAGCTCTCTACCGCTAGCAGCCGATCTACACTTAACTCTATGCTTCCCCCAAATATAATTGTAATAATATGTTTAGTTTAACCAGTGCCGGCGCCAGGTTATTTAGCGACCTAGGCAAAAAATGTATTAAAAGCGCCCCCTCCCCTCGCAATTTTTTTCGCGCCCCGTATTATGAGAGGCGTAACGAACCTTCCCGGCGCCCCGGGACAAACTTTCGATTTGCACCCCATCAAACTTTCGATTTGCACCCCCCCCCCTCAAACTATCGATTTGTTTTTCCAACCCATTTTTACGCCCCCCCCCCTCCCTACGGACAGCGCCCTAGGCGACCGCCTAGTTCGCCTTATAGTCAGCGCCGGCCCTGACATTAACTGTCAAGTGAACATTCAGTAAAAAATCTTATAAAATAAGAATACGTAGCATAAATCCACCGAAAATAAATCTTGATAGTCTATTATCGGAAAAGTCTTTCAAACAGTTCGATAGAGAACTGCTACATCTTGATAGTTGGTCTAGAAATGGAAGTAAAACTAGACAAGACTCACATATCTGATGTTGTAGGGGTTGTTCCAGTTCCATCTGCCGTTGGGGAAAGGGGCGTTGTTGGCCAGGCACTGATGTAGGGGGAGGACGATGTTCAGGAAAGGCACGACAGCAGGGTTAAAATACACCTGGAGACATGAACAGGTAGCATGCTTAGAATTAGTATACCTTGAGAGATTAACCGATAACGTACAGTAATTGTATAATTGTAGAGCGAAACTATTCTACAAAACCTTATTTTTAGAGATTTAACTATAGCCACAACTTTTCAGCTTATTGTAAAAAGAGATAGAGAAGGCCCCGTCCTTTATACAACCAGTGTTTCTTCCAGACTTTTTTCTCCGAGGGGTACTTGATATTTTCAGGGGGGGGGTCAACATTTTCAGGGGGGGGGGGGCGGACACTATTAAAAGTATATGTTTACTATATAAATTCCATCTCGTTCGGGGGCGGTAGACTTTCATCGGGGTGGGGGGGGCTCTGCCCTCAAAGAGATGCTTGAAAGAAACTCTGTATACAATAATACTTCCTTTTATAACCTAAATCTCTCCACTTAACCTAGGTAGTGAAGGCCTCGTCTTTTATACAAAGATACCCTCTGGGTACAGAAAGCCCCGTCCTTTATACAACGATCATCACGATTAAAATAAAAACTTTTCACCTACCCTGGGCAGAGAATTCCCCCAGTCCCTGGTCTGCAGGTAGATGGGGGTGGTGCCAGTGATGCCCGCACGGTTGGGTATCGAGTTGGTGACGTTGACTAGCTTGATGCAGGAGGCTGGAAACGGTCCAGACGAGCGGTACCTGGAGGTACAAGGGGTGATATAGAGAATACCTAAAGCAGCAGGGAGTGAGCGTATAGTTGGGGAGGAGGGTGTAAAGAAACCGGGTTGGGTGGGGGTGGGTGGGGCGGCAAGCGCATCGTTGTATTTAATAACTGTGGAAACTTGTGGGGCGGAGGTGTACTAGTGGACTTACCCGTGGGGTGGAGGTGCACTAAAGGACTTACCCGTGGGGTGGAGGTGTACTAGTGGACTTTCCCGTGGGGTGGAGGTGTACTAGTGGACTTACCCGTGGGGTGGAGGTGTACTAGTGGACTTACCCGTTGGGTGGAGGTGTACTAGTGGACATACCCGTGGGGTGGAGGTGTACTAGTGGACTTACCCGTGGGGTGGAGGTGTACTAGTGGACTTACCCGTGGGGTGGAGGTGTACTAGTGGACTTACCCGTGGGGTGGAGGTGTACTAGTGGACTTACCCGTGGGGTGGAGGTGTACTAGTGGACTTACCCGTGGGATGGAGGTGTACTAGTGGACTTACCCGTGGGGTGGAGGTGCACTAAAGGACTTACCCGTGGGGTGGAGGTGTACTAGTGGACTTACCCGTGGGATGGAGGTGCACTAAAGGACTGACCCGTGGGGTGGAGGTGTACTAGTGGACTTACCCGTGGGGTGGAGGTGTACTAGTGGACTTACCCGTGGGGTGGAGGTGCACTAAAGGACTTACCCGTGGGGTGGAGGTACACTAAAGGACTTTCCCGTAGGGTGGGGGTGTACTAGTGGACTTACCCGTGGGGTGGAGGTGTACTAGTGGACTTACCCGTGGGGTGGAGGTGTACTAGTGGACTTACCCGTGGGGTGGAGGTGTACTAGTGGACTTACCCGTGGGATGGAGGTGCACTAAAGGACTTTCCCGTAGGGTGGAGGTGTACTAGTGGACTTTCCCGTGGGGTGGAGGTGTACTAGTGGACTTACCCGTGGGGTGGAGGTGTACTAAAGGACATACCCGTGGGGTGGAGGTGTACTAGTGGACTTACCCGTGGGGTGGAGCTGTACTAGTGGACTTACCCGTGGGGTGGAGGTGTACTAAAGGACTTACCCGTGGGGTGGAGGTGTACTAGTGGACTTACCCGTGGGGTGGAGGTGTACTAGTGGACTTACCCGTGGGGTGGAGCTGTACTAGTGGACTTACCCGTGGGGTGGAGGTGCACTAAAGGACTTACACGTGGGGTGGAGGTGTACTAGTGGACTTACCCATGGGGTGGAGGTGTACTAGTGGACTTACCCGTGGGGTGGAGGTGTACTAGTGGACTTACCCGTGGGGTGGAGGTGTACTAAAGGACTTACCCGTGGGGTGGAGGTGTACTAGTGGACTTACCCGTGGGATGGAGGTGCACTAAAGGACTTACCCGTGGGGTGGAGATGTACCAGTGGACTTACCCGTGGGGTGGAGGTGTACTAGTGGACTTTCCCGTAGGGTGGAGGTGTACTAGTGGACTTACCCGTGGGGTGGAGGTGCACTAAAGGACTTTCCCGTAGGGTGGAGGTGTACTAGTGGACTTACCCGTGGGGTGGAGGTGTACTAGTGGACTTACCCGTGGGGTGGAGGTGTACTAAAGGACTTACCCGTGGGGTGGAGGTGTACTAGTGGACTTACCCGTGGGGTGGAGGTGTACTAGTTGACTTACCCGTGGGATGGAGGTGCACTAAAGGACTTTCCCGTAGGGTGGAGGTGTACTAGTGGACTTACCCGTGGGGTGGAGGTGTACTAGTGGACTTATCCGTGGGGTGGAGGTGTACTAGTGGACTTACCCGTGGGGTGGAGGTGTACTAGTGGACTTACCCGTGGGGTGGAGGTGTACTAGTGGACTTACCCGTGGGGTGGAGGTGCACTAAAGGACTTACACGTGGTATGGAGGTGTACTAGTGGACTTACCCATGGGGTGGAGGTGTACTAGTGGACTTACCCGTGGGGTGGAGGTGTACTAGTGGACTTACCCGTGGGGTGGAGGTGTACTAAAGGACTTACCCGTGGGGTGGAGGTGTACTAGTGGACTTACCCGTGGGGTGGAGGTGTACTAGTGGACTTAACCGTGGGGTGGAGGTGTACTAGTGGACTTACCCGTGGGGTGGAGGTGTACTAGTGCACTTACCCGTGGGGGTGGAGGTGTACTAATGGACATACCCGTGGGGTGGAGGTGTACTAGTGGACTTACCCGTGGGGTGGAGGTGTACTAGTGGACTTACCCGTGGGGGTGGAGGTGTACTAATGGACATACCCGTGGGGTGGAGGTGTACTAGTGGACATACCCGTGGGGTGGAGGTGTACTAATGGACATACCCGTGGGGTGGAGATGTACCAATGGACTTACCCGTGGGGTGGAGGTGTACTAGTGGACTTACCCGTGGACTTACCCGTAGGGTGGAGGTGTACTAGTGGACTTACCCGTGGGGTGGAGGTGTACTAGTGGACTTACCCGTAGGGTGGAGGTGCACTAAAGGACTTACCCGTGGGGTGGAGGTGCACTAAAGGACTTACCCGTTGGGTGGAGGTGTACTAGTGGACTTACCCGTGGGATGGAGGTGCACTAAAGGACTTACCCGTGGGGTGGAGGTGTACTAGTGGACTTACCCGTGGGGTGGAGGTGTACTAGTGGACTTACCCGTGGGGTGGAGGTGTACTAGTGGACTTACCCGTGGGGTGGGGGTGTACTAGTGGACTTACCCGTGGGGTGGAGGTGTACTAGTGGACTTACCCGTGGGGTGGGGGTGTACTAGTGGACTTACCCGTGGGGTGGGGGTGTACTAGTGGACTTACCCGTGGGGTGGAAGTGTACTAGTGGACTTACCCGTGGGGTGGGGGTGTACTAGTGGACTTACCCGTGGGGTGGAGGTGTACTAGTGGACATACCCGCGGGGTGGAGGTGTACTAGTGGACTTACCCGTGGGGTGGAGGTGTACTAAAGGACTTACCCTTGGGGTGGAGGCGTACTAGTGGACTTACCCGTGGGGCGGAGGTGTACTAGTGGACTTACCCGTGGGGTGGGGGAGCATCTGGCACAGTGTTGTATGCAGTACTGGCCACCCTGGACAGGCATTTGTCGTAACGCTTGACACAGAAGTCTGGAAGAATTTAATTGAATGAGTCACACGTTGAAATATTTTGTTTATTTTTCAAACTTGATTTCATAGATTAACTACTAAAGAGGTATAAAATATGAACGATGTTGTATTTTTACTTTTATATTTACCTGTACACAGGTATAAATTACTTTAAATTACCTTCACCACGTTAAACATACTGTTAAATCTACGTGTACAACATCAAGTAAAGTTCCCTTTCGAACCTGACGGTCTATGGGGCTAGTGAAGTAGAGTCCTTATGTAACTGTGATCTCGGCTTATGAAAGGATAGTCTGATCAGCAGCCTTTATTTTCCCGAACGTGACTTAGGTAGGTACCCAACCGAGCTGGGTGAACTTAGGGTAGTTCGACTTGATCCAAGATTCGAACTAGAGACTCTCGGGTTATTAGTCGCATGCTGTACCATTCAACAACGCAGTCCATTAATTACCACGGTAAACCATAAAGTTATATCTACCATCTACTCACCATCAAGACCACCGGGTCCACATCTCTGGCAGAAGTTGAGCGACAACCCCAATCGTGGCATGTAACAGGCCTGGCTTTGGACACCAGCAACCAGTAGTGTCACGACAACGGTGCCTAGCAGGATAAATAGTCTGGAACAATTTTTAAAATAAATATAAATAGAGATTCAAATTAAAATTCACCAAATTGTGTGGTTGCAGTCCTTTGCTCCCCAGGGGCCACAAAGGAATGATGATGATGATGAAATTAGGGTATTATAATTTCATTGTATACTATTTGTAAAATATGGTAAAACAACGAGTATAACTGATTCCAGTTTCAAAAGCAATGGAAAATCTTGTCGAATCTATAATATTTATCAAGTAAAATATTTTGGCATCAAATGTATTTAAACCAAACAGTAGCATGTAGAACCGACCTATCATATTGGAAAACTTTACACGTTTAATTAAAAAGTGCTTAAAAACGGGGTTTATAATAAACAACGACACAGAAAAGCACTATTATGGGTTATGTACACGTGATTAAAAAGTTATATATATATATATATATATATGAAACCCGACCTAACGTCCCACTGCTATTTAAAATGATTTGGTTATGTAATTAGTTTAATTACTTTAGCAGATAATAAGTGTGCTTTGGGGGGAGCGGGGTGGATAGGGAGGGGGTTGCAATAAAGTTTGATTGTTCGGGTGTTCTTTAGATGTCGGTTTGATGGTTAAAATAACACGCTAGTGTGGGGTGGGCTCAGTGGGTACATGGGGCAGTCGGTAACAGTCGTTGACGGAGGTGTGAGCTGTGGGTGATGTGGGAGGTGTGTACTGTGGGGAGGTGTGATGTTAGGTAATGTGGTTTATGGTGGGGTAGGAGTAGGTTTATTAAGTCCAAGACAGTATCTAGAATCTAGTTAAGATTGGAATATGGTGTGTATTGGGGTGTATTGAGGTATTTTGAACCGTGTGACTAAAACAATATATGGTGTGAGTTTTGTGAGATATGTGAATTGTATGTGAGTTGGGATTTGTGTCAAGCGGGTTTCGAATGGTGTGGGAATGACTGTGTAATGTGATAGATGACTGAGTTGTATGAGTTAAATACAGCAAGGCCATAAGTAGGTATACACACAAGTGAGTTAAGAAAACTAAATTTATTTAAATTTTAAATTTACTGTTTTATACTTTGTTGTTGTTGAACATAAGCAAATTCATACATCAAAATTAAAACTTAAACCATCATGTGATTCTTTACTGCGTGTAGCACTAAAGCTTGTGGTGATGTTTAAGACACCAGAGGAAAGCACATTCACGTTGAACACAATATATTGTGTGTCACATTACTTACAAACCTTTGTCACGTCACTTGTTGGCATGTCTTGCTGTAAATGTGTTTCTCCCACACGTAGACCTACAAGAAACTACAAATAAACGGATAGTTGTTACACATTCTTCTGCCTAAAGAAACCAGACTATAAAAATACTGAATGTCAAAAAGATGATATATATTAATAATCCTCTTGTCATTCATTTCCGTTTGATAAATGTTAACAACAGCCTTAGTGTAAGAAAAACAATATAGGCCTACATTAAGTGCCTATATCATAAACATTTTATGAAAACAATTTGTAGTAAAATTACTTGGATATTTGCTGTGATATTTTTTTTAATAAATCAAAATGTGTCAGCTAATTCAAAACTCAGTGAAGTTTTTTTTTGGTTGACATAGGGGACGTAACTAAAGAATTATACAACTAAAAGTAATTTAATTCCCTTATTTATATCACTATTTGCAACATGAATGTAAACGCAAACTTGTTTTTATAACTTGTTTTGATGAAAATGGTGAAAGGCTGAAAGTTAAAATATCGAAAACAAAATATTAATTTGATACATCCAACACTACTATTAACGTATGTTAATGAACTGCTGGCGAAATAATAAATTTAGTCCGATACTAATATGCTAAAATCTGAATAATCCGTACAGACTAAATATTAGAATCCAATAGGCATACTTCTGAATTACTTAGTACAGTGGGGGGGGGGGGGGGGGTGTTAGGGTGCAAATCGAAAGTTTGACGGGGGGGGGGGGGGGGGAGTGGTGCAAATCGAAAGTTTGTCCCCGGGTAAAAATTGGAACCCCCCCCCCCCCTCTTTGAGACGATCCTGGCTACGCCACTGACTTGTATATTTCAGAAATTATCTTGATGCTTATAGAAATTGCATTAGCAACAGTTCAAAATTTGCTTTAGGTGTTTAAAAATAAGGTACTTTGTGAATTTCACATTTTAACTATCACATAAAAAAAACGTATATTAATTGTATTAATATTTTAAAAATCATGTTTAATTAGTTGCTTCTCGTTTTATTGATTTTTTTTAAATACAAGGACGATGAGTTCAACGCAATGCTTGTCATTGATTATTCTTTTATCCCTCACACGAACACACACACACGCACACACACACACAAACGCACACACACACGCACACACGCACGCACATACCTCCCATTCAAATTTTTTTTTTTGCTTCAATAAAAAAATATCTTTCGTCTTTTATGTCATGTTACTGACGTCATCATCAATGCAAGAGGTAACAAAAGCTCAGGAAAAAAATGCACGGAAAACACATTTCATTTTTTCTCATAACTGTTTTTTTTTTAACCGCCACAAATTTTGATTTGTTAACCATTTATCACAGTTCATCAATTTAAAATGAACTGCGGAATAATGCAAACTAAAAATAATTAAAAACTGAGTAATCATTCGCCCATTTTGAATAATTGATTGAACTGTGTTCTTGAACCAACTTTTTTGATGATAAGTCGTCAATGTAATTAAATCATTGTTGATGATTGATTAGTGTAATTAAATCCTTCGTGATTCTGAGACTCTTACGCAAGTCAACCTGTCTATTGATGTGTTTTATCATTCCGCTACATAGTGCTATATAGTGTGTAGTGTCTGTGGTAGCTAGTGGGTTGAATACACACGTATGTTGCTGTCAATCTGCTACATAGTGCTATATGAGGTAACGTGTATGTGGAAGCTAGGGGGTTGTTGTTCAGATAACGCGCATTGATTTTTGTTATAGATGGTTGAGTTTAAAGTGAACTTGATTATCCGTATTATGAAATTAATACATAATTTCACAGTTTTACATAAAATGCTACTTCTTCTTCGTTCTTAATTTTTAGTGTTGGGAGGGATCGAGCCTTATCTGCCAGAGGGTTTGAACTCGAGACTTTTTTTTTTCAAATTTATCAACCAAGAGCTTTACCGATTCGACCACGCCGACCCCGAAAAGCCTTTACCCTAACCATGCCATAACGATAAGCCGAGCCTTAAAACGTTTTATGTAATACAAGCTTTAGATTAAGGACAAGATCTGCTAAACTGAAGCTAAAGGAGACCCATAAAAAATAATATTTTATAAACACTGATCTCTGAAATCAAATGTATTTAGTACTGATATTAACTAATTATATCAATTTTTATCAAATAATTATAAAACATAATATCTATAAAAAATAAAATAAAATAAAACATCCTGTAACTGTATATTAAAATGCTGCGAGTATGCTACGAGTAATTGAACTCACTCTCTTTTCTTCTCGCTACGATGACAGCCCGTTTCTCATGAACGCTTTCAATTCACCCACCCCTCAAGTCAGTTTAATGAGCTAAATCCTATTGAACACCAGCTCCAATAAACATCGATTTGTTTCCTGAGCGAGCCTCCACTGATACAGTGTGTCTAACCGGCAGGCAGCGATCGATGGCCAGCTTTTTGTCCATCTCTAGCGTAGAGAGGATCGTTCGTCCGCGTTTTTTCAAACACCGGCAATTCTACTCTAGAAGCTATTAAACTAAAAAGCTGCTAACAGCTACAAATTCCAGCTTTTAGGTGATATAGCGGAGACCTGTATTTAGTTTGATTTATATATGAAGTTAAAAAATCAACCTATAATTTTTTTTTCGAATCATTAAAATGTCGCCTTTTGTAGGAATAATCATCTTTGTATGAAGTTTTTCTGGCGAATAGTTTGTATACGTTTTCAACCAGAAAAAGGCAGATAGATGAAGGTGTAGTAGGGAGGTTTCATTTCTTCATGTGACCGTGACAACGTTGGACTTTGTGCGTAGTTAGCATCTTTCAGGATATAAAATAAGAATTGAACGAAACACGCCGTGTTGTTAATTGGTGGATCTGGATATGATCGTAGTTTTAGATAGCGGTATCTGAGTGGTCAATCATTGTCTGAGTGGTCAAGCAGTGTCCGAGTGGTCAATCAGTGTCCGAGTGGTCAAGCAGTGTCCGAGTGGTCAAGCAGTGTCCGAGTGGTCAAGCAGTGTCCGAGTGGTCAAGCAGTGTCCGAGTGGTCAATCAGTGTCCGAGTGGTCAAGCAGTGTCCGAGTGGTCAAGCAGTGTCCGAGTGGTAAAGCAGTGTCCGAGTGGTCAAGCAGTGTCCGAGTGGTAAAGCGGTGTCCGAGTGGTCAAGCGGTTGAACTCGCTATTGTTAACGTGAAAGACCAGAACACGAAACCCGGGCACGATAAGGTAGGTCGTCTCCAGATGGAGATGGATTTCACGTCCAGTGCGATGTATTTCGGGGGGGGGGAATCAAAACACAGGTGAAAATTTACGGGTCTAGCGACTTGTAATAAAAGTGAGAGCAAAGCTTGATCGAATCTTTATCCTGTTTCTGATCGCCTTTCTAACGAGCGTTGATTGAGCTGGTATTTACCGTAACCAGAAATAGAGCAGATTATTACACGTGTTTTGTGTACACACTGTGTACGTGGACATGACAACATGGAGGGTCAGTGGACCCTAAGGCGTGCGTGGTTCTAGTTTTCTGGAGCTTCGTCTCTTAAAGAAATATTGTTCGGAGTCTTACAATTTTTATGAGAGAGACGTAATGAAATAGATAAATATTGAATCGAATCTGGCGGTGTGATTTGTGAATAAAAATTTCATTTAATTCGTAAATCAGCATTAAAATGAGTGTTTTATAAAAATTGCTACATTAAATTCTTAAGACAGCATTAAAAACTGTATTTTATGAATATTATTACAGTTCATTCTTAAAGCG